GGACACTCTTGGGTCATCCTGGGACTCTCCTTGGAGCCTCTTGGAGGCATCTTGGGGGCCTCCTTGGGCCTGTTGGGGGCCTTTGTTGGCTTCTCGAGGCCCTCTTTGGCCGTCTTGGTGGGCCCCTCTCGGTGTGCTCCAGGACCGTCTTGGAGGCCATCTTGGGCGTCTTCGAGGCCTCTTATGCCGTCTTGGGGCCCTCTTGGTGCCGTCTTGGGGGCCTCTTGGGCCGTTCTGGGGCCATCCTGGAGGCCTCTTGAGCGCTCTGGGGGCGATCTTTTGGGGCTCTCGGGCCGTCTCGGGCCGCCGGTAGGCCGAAAAGAAGCAAATGCCCAAATCTCTCAAACCCCTAAGGGAAATCAATGATTTTGGCCTCTTCGGGCCTTCCTGGAGGCCCTCTTGGAGGCCTCTTGGGCCGTCTTGGGCCATCTTAGAGCCATCTTGGGCCGTCTTGGTGGGCTCCTGGCCCGTCTGACGCCGTCGGAAGCCGTCTGGGGGGCCTCTCTGGGCCGACTTGGGGCCCTCTTGGAATGCTCCAGGGCCGTCTTGGAGGCTTTCTTGGGTGTCTTAGAGGCCTCTTGTGCTGTCTTTTGGCCCTTTTGGAGCCATCTTGGGGGCCTCTTGGGCCGTTCTGGAGCCATCTTGGAGGCCTCTGAGGCCGATCTTTGGGGGCTCTTGGAGCCGTCTCTGGTCGTCGGAATGCAGAAAAGAAGCAAATGCCCAAATCTTTCAAAACCCTAAGGGTAAATCAATGATTTTGGCCTCTTTGGGCCTTCCTGGAGTCTCTCTTGGAGGCTTCTTGGGCCGTCTTGGGCCATCTTAGAGCCATCTTGGGCCGTCTTGGTGGGCTCCTGGCCCGTCTGACGCCGTCGGAAGCCGTCTTGGGGCCTCTCTGGGCCGACTTGGGGCCATTTTGGGTTGCTCCAGGGCCGTCTTGTAGGCTTCCTTGGGCGTTTTCGAGGCCTCTTGGGTCGTCTTTGTGCCCTCTTGGTGCCGTCTTGGGGGCCTCGTGGGCCGTCCTGATGCCATCTTGGAGGGCTCTTGTGCGCTCTGGGGGTGATCTAGGTGGCCTCTTGGGCGCTCTTGGGCCGTCGGAAGGCCGAAAAGGAGCAGATGCCAAAACACCTTCAAAAACCATAGGAACATCAATGATTTTAGCCTCTTCCGGCACTCCTGGAGGACCTCCCGGAGGCGTCTTGGGCCGTCTTGGAGTCCTCTTGGGAGGCCTTTGCGGCCGTCTTGGTGGCTTCTTGGGCGGACTTGGAGGCATCTTGGACCCTCCTGGACCGTCTTGGAGGCCATCTTTGACCATCTTAGGCGGACTTGGAGGCCATCTTGGGCCATCTTGGCCGTCTTGGAGGCATCCTGGAGTCCATTTGGAGCCATCTTGGGCGTGCAATGCATTGACCGGCGCAGTTTGCGGTCCCTTCTGGGTGGCCGGCGGGACGGGCCGAAGCCCCAGGGGAGAGTTCTTTTGGAAAAAGAACCAAATCTATAACCGAAAGGGTCTAGCGCGCCAGGCACCCCTGTGGCAAGCCAACAGGGGGCGGCGGATCGAAGACACCTACGGCGAATCACCGCCGCCCCCTGCCTTTTTGGAAGCACCTGCGTGGCCGAAAGTTGGTTTTGATCTTGGCCAAGCTATCGGGCCACGCGTTCCCCGAGTGGGTTTCGAAAGCCTTCGGGGAACACGGAGTCGGGCGAGCTATCGGACCAGGTGGTTTCCAAGCTTTCGGGCCTTCCTGGAGGACGCCTTGGAGGGGCCTTGCGGGCCTTTTGGGCAGTCGAAGGCCATCTTCAGGCCATCTGGGGCCGTCTCGGGTGCATCTTGGGGCCATCTTCGCTGTCTTGGGGGCCTTCTTGGCCGTCTTGGAGGCATCTTGGAGGCCGTCTTGGCCGTCTTGAGGCCATCTTCGGCGTCTTCGGGGCCATCCTGGGCCGTCTTGGGCTTTTCTTGGGGCCCTCTTGGGGGCCTCATAGGCTGTCATGGGGCCATCTTGGAGGCCTCTTGGGCGCTCTTGGGACGATGTTGGGTGCCCCTTGGGCCGTCTTGGGCCGTCGGAGAGCTGATAAGAAGAAAATGCGAAAATCTTTCAAGAACCTAAGGACAATCAATGATTTTTACCCTTTCGGGCCCTCCTGGAGGACGTCTTGGAGGCCTCGTGGGGGCCTCCTGGCTAGTCTTAGGCCATCTTGGGGCCATCTTAGGCCGTCTTGGAGGCTTCTTGCGAACTTGGAGGCTTCTTGGACTCTCTCGGGCCGTCCTGGAGGTCATCTTGGACCATCTTGTTCCATCTTGGCGGCCATCGTGGGCCAACGTGACCAACTTAGAGGCCATCTTGAGCCGTTTTGGATAAATTTTGTGTGGACGTTGGGGTGGTTTACGTGGCTTTGTGCGGCCTTTCGGCTGGCCAGCGGGACGGGCCGAAGCCCCAGGGAGTTTTTCTAGAAGAACTGCAAGCGAAAGGGTCTAGCACGCCGGGCACCTGTGATGAATCAACAGGGGGCGGCGGATCCTCATGTACTTCGGCCCATCCCGCCACCGTGCCTGGGTTTGGGTCTGAGGCCTCTTGTACATGTGTTGGGGTGTCGTGGGGAGCCTCTCGGGGGCCTCTTGGAGGCGGTTTGGGCGCCTCTTGGGGGTCTCTTGGGGCCTTGTGGGGTATCTTTTGGGCCTTTTTGAGGCCTCTTGGGCGCGTCTTAGAGGCCTCTTAGGCGCCTCTTGGGGGCTTCTCGGGGTTTCTCTGAGCGCTTCTTGGGCCGTCTTGGAGCCCTCTTGGGCCGTCTTGGGACCCTCTTGAAGGCGTCTTGGGTTGTCTTGGGGCGATCTTGGGGGCCTATTGAGCCGTCTTGGAGCGTCGGAAAGCCGAACATGCGAGAAGGCCGCCATCCTTCAAAAACCTTCGTAACATCGACGGTTTTGGCCTCTTGGAGCTCTCTTGGGAGGCGTCTTGGAGCGCTCTTGGGGCCTCTTGAGACCCTCTTGGGCCGGCTTGGAACCATCTTCGGGCGCCTTGTAGCACTCTTGGCCCCGGCAATGAGAATATGGTGTAATTTGCTAAAGGTTTACGGCCTCCGGGGCGCGAGCATTGCGTAATTTACAACGGTTTGTCGCCTCGGGGACGCAAGAATTGTATCATTTGCTCGGGTTTATGGCTTCTGGCACGCAGGAATTGAGTCATTTACAAGGGTTTGTGGCTTCGGGGACGCGAACATTGCGTAATCTACGAAGGATTATTGCCTCGGCGGCGCGAATCCCACGTGTCCCACGCCCCCCGGGGATTTCAGGCAATGCGATCTGGGCGTGGTAAATTGCCTGTTTGGGGCTCCCCCTCCTCGCGCGAATTTGAACAATTTACACTAGGAAGCAGAAAGCAGGACTGTAACATTGGAGACTTGAACCTGCAACTGGCGCAGGGAGCAACAAGCCTAAGCCTCGCAGCCTGATAGCCCCGCAAGGGGGCCGGCGGATTTTTTCGATCTCCCTTACGACGACGACGATTCAAAGGAGGCTGGCGTACTTCAGCTTGGGTTGGGCTGGCCCCGCGTCGATGAGCCTCTCACACACGCCGACTGGGTCGGCGGATTCGTTTTCGGCGGCGCGCCGAGGGGGAAGTGAGAGGGAGCAAGCCTCCTAAGGCGGCGGGGCTTCTCAGAAGCCCTCTGGCCTTTGAGAAGCCGTATATCGCTTCGCAGGAGGCTGGAGGCTTTCTGAGCCTTCTGAGAAGGCCCGCCCCCTCTCTGCCGTCCCAGACGTTTGCCGATGTGCTTTTTCCCAGCCCGCTGCCCCAGAGGTCCCGACCCCATGTCCCGGGGCAAGTTTTTCGCCCCGCATCTGTTCCTGCCGGTCCCCGGGCCCGAGCACGGGCTCCACAGGCCGAAACCGAGGAAAACCGCCAGGATGGAAAACCTCACATCGTCCGAGACTGGGAATCCCCCGTAGGCTTAACTCGGGCACGTCCCTCTACAGGGGGAATCTTCAACCATAGCAGAACATACGCTGGGGACGATTTCTCGATCTTCTTTATTAACTACTGAGTTTTTTGTGTGGGTATTTTGTTTTTTCTCCAAATCCGCCTGTAGGAGGACCTGTCCGACCTAACCCAAGGCGCGCTGCCGATTTTTCCCAACCATCCTGTGGTGTTGGGTCCTCGTTTTGAAGAGGCGTCGCCCCGCGTTCCTCCTTCCTCCTTCCTCCTTCCTCCTTCCTCCTCCTGCCCTTCCTCCCCCCTCCTCCCCCTCCCACACCCATTCTGGCACACCCCTCACACGTTTCGTGGCCCCATAGGGAGCTCCACCGAAGGCCCCAGTGGCTGCGCCCGCATGCGGTTCCACCCCCCATTCTGGCACACCCCTCACACGTTTCGTGGCCCCATAGGGAGCTCCACCGAAGGCCCCAGTGGCTGCGCCCGCATGCGGTTCCACCCCCCATTCTGGCACACCCCTCACACGTTTCGTGGCCCCATAGGGAGCTCCACCGAAGGCCCCAGTGGCTGCGCCCGCATGCGGTTCCACCCCCCATTCTGGCACACCCCTCACACGTTTCGTGGCCCCATAGGGAGCTCCACCGAAGGCCCCAGTGGCTGCGCCCGCATGCGGTTCCACCCCCCATTCTGGCACACCCCTCACACGTTTCGTGGCCCCATAGGGAGCTCCACCGAAGGCCCCAGTGGCTGCGCCCGCATGCGGTTCCACCCCCATTCTGGCACACCCCTCACACGTTTCGTGGCCCCATAGGGAGCTCCACCGAAGGCCCCAGTGGCTGCGCCCGCATGCGGTTCCACCCCCCATTCTGGCACACCCACCCATTCTGGCACACACGTTTCGTGGCCCCATAGGGAGCTCCACCGAAGGCCCCAGTGGCTGCGCCCGCATGCGGTTCCACCCCCCATTCTGGCACACCCCTCACACGTTTCGTGGCCCCATAGGGAGCTCCACCGAAGGCCCCAGTGGCTGCGCCCGCATGCGGTTCCCCCCCCATTCTGGCACACCCCTCACACGTTTCGTGGCCCCATAGGGAGCTCCACCGAAGGCCCCAGTGGCTGCGCCCGCATGCGGTTCCACCCCCCATTCTGGCACACCTTTCACACGTTTCGTGGCCCCATAGGGAGCTCCACCGAAGGCCCCAGTGGCTGCGCCCGCATGCGGTTCCACCCCCCATTCTGGCACACCCCTCACACGTTTCGTGGCCCCATAGGGAGCTCCACCGACTCACTCGTTTCGTGGCCCGGAGGCGCCACCGAAGAATATATCCACAATTGCGGTATTCACAACTACGTATGGTTGGGTCTTTCGTCAGGCTAATTTCACGATGTGCCCCCCAGAGGTCCGCAGAACCCTTTCCTGGGGACAAGGTTTTTATCTTGAGTTGTTTGCGCCGGTCCCGAGGCCCGGTCAGGGCTCCAGAGGACGAAAATAGTGAGCACCCTCCGTCGTGTTTTTTTACTTCGCGAGGGGGTCTGGGGTCTGGGGTCGATGTCGTTTTCCATCTCCTATTCGTGGCTTCGGACAAGGCCTAGAATTAGGAGGGGAAAAAACACACAGTCGCAAGTAATCGTCGATTCCCAGAAAAATGCGGAAAACATGGGAAGTGGAGGGGAAGACGAGCATCCAGAAAATATGGAAAGGCTTTATGAATCCTGGGATTTGTGCCTATTGATCTGTGTGTCCCTGGGCTCCTCCATTGACATCTTCTCCGAAGAGCGGGGGCCTTCCGAGCCTTCGGAGAAGGTCCGCGCCCTCAGACTTCCCCCAGCAGGCGCGCCGCCGACCTTCGCTTGCATGAGGTATATCCAAAGCGTCGGCAAAGGCCTGGACCGTGGATATTCCATCCTCCACCCTCGATCCTCCCTTTTTGGCCCTGTCCTCTCGACTCTCCCTCGACCCCTTCCCCGACCCTCCCTCTTCCTCGTTCTCTCGACTCTCCCTCGACCTCCTCCTCGATCCTCTTCGACCTCCCGTTTTCTCGATTCCAGCTCCTCTCGATCCTCCCTCTTATCGGGGAAATGTAAGACTCGAGTAAGCAGGAACTCGGTTTTGCCTGCGTTTTTTGATGAGCGCGTCCTGGAATTTTGACGGTCTGGTTTTCGTGGGATGTCTTGCAGTGGGAGTTCGCGTTAAATTTCAGCCTGGGTCTCGTCATGTTCATGATGTCTCCCGTCAGGCCAACCCGAGTCCCCCGAACCTGAGTCTTACGTCTCCCCGATCTTCGACTCTCCCTCGTTGCAGGTCCACCACGCCTGGGTCTCCGTGGACTCCGCCGTGTACCTGTGGGACTACCGCGAGCGGGAGCCGCGGGTGCAGAGCGTGCCCGCGGACGCGACGGTGCCGCCTCCCCCCCTGCAGGTAGTTCGTAGCAGTCGTAGTAGTAGCATAAGTAGCATTATTCAAAAATAGTATTATCCCGGCAAAGCAACCTAACAGCGATGTGTAGAAGCATATATGGAAGCATTCCCCTTACGATTCAGATGATAATCCAGTTGTAGAGTTCTGCTGTTCTCGCAGTCGCAGTCGCATTCGCGATGACAGTCGCAGTGGCAGCGGCAGTCGCAGTCACAGCCTCAGCCTGCCTCAGTATCAGCCTGCCTCAGCCTCAGCCTCAGCCTGCCTTCAGCCTCAGCCTCAGCCTGCCTCAGCCTCAGCCTGCCTCAGTATCAGCCTTCAGCCTCAGCCTCAGCCTGCCTCAGCCTCAGCCTCAGCCTCAGCCTCAGCCTCAGCCTGCCTCAGCCTCAGCCTCAGCCTGCTTCAGCCTCAGCCTCAGCCTGGCTTCAGCCTCGGCCTCAGCCTCAGCCTGCCTCAGCCTCAGCCTGCATCAGCCTCAGCCTCAGCCTCACCCTGCCTCAGCATCAGCCTGCCTCAGCCTCTGCCTCAGCCTCAGCCTCAGCCTCAGCCTCAGCCTCAGCCTCACATCAGCCTCAGCCTGCCTCAGCCTCAGCCTCAGCCTCAGCCTCAGCCTGCCTCAGCATCAGCCTGCCTCAGTCTCAGCCTCAGCCTGCCTCAGCCTCAGCCTGCTTCAGCCTCAGCCTCAGTCTGCCTTCAGCCTCAGCCTCTGTGCCTCAGCCTGCCTCAGCATCAGCCTGCAGCCTCAGCCTCAGCCTCAGCCTCAGCCTGCCTCAGCCTCAGCCTGCCTCAGCCTCATCAGCCTCAGCCTCAGCCTCAGCCTCAGCCTGCCTCTGCCTCAGCCTCAGCCTGCCTCAGCCTCAGCCTCAGCCTCAGCCTGCCTCAGCCTCAGCCTGCCTCAGCCTCAGCCTCAGCCTCAGCCTCAGCCTCAGCCTCAGCCTGCCTGCCTCAGCCTCAGCCTCAGCCTCAGCAGCCTCAGCAGCTGCCTCAGCCTCTCAGCCAGTCAAAATGTTCTGGGCCTCGAGGAATGGAGTTCTGGGCACTCGAAGAGCACGAAGTGGCCTACAGTTGGCTCCGGGCATTCAAAATGTGGCCCGGGAATGGAGTTCTGGGACTCGAAGAGCACGAAGTGGCCTACAGTTGGCTCCGGGCATTCAAAAT